ACTTATCATCTCTCCCAGGAAAGCGCAATATTTTCTCACTAGAGGGTCTTTCCTCGCAATCACCTTCGACCACTGCTCTCATCCTCTTCAAGAGAGCTACCCCCTTCCTCCTTTTCCTTCTCCTTCTCCTTATCATCATCATTCCAATCCTCATCGTCAACTCTCGTTATGGCCACTGTGATTGGTTCTCTATTCTCTGAAACTTCAGAAAGACATTTCTGATTAGTAAATAAAACACTGCCCACCCACCATCACTTTCAAAGAAATGCAAAGTCCTGTCAGAAAGTTTACCCTTAAGGTTGGAGGACGTTTTAATTAAGCGTCGAAACCAATCTGGGATTCCATCCGTTCTGATGGGTTGTTGTAATTATTTTGGTTTTGGTTTTACCAAAAAAGCTTTCAACAGTACTGGTCGCAGAAATGGCAGCACCTACACGCGCGTAAAATGCGTGCAAGATGGGGATGCCATCGAACGAGTCAGCTTTTTCAGGGTGATGAATCTGTTAAATCTACGAAGAAACAACCTGCTAAGAACAGTACAGCAGCAGCGAAGAAATCCACCGTAACTAGAAAGGCAGCTTTGTCATCTTCACAGGACGACAGCCCTGATGGCGACGCAGCAGCCAAGAAACAACCAGCCAAGAAACAGCCAGCCAAGAAACAACCAGCCAAGAAAGGCAAGCGTGGAAAGGCAGTAATTCTCGATAGCAGTGACGAGGATTCTGATTCAGCGATGCTCTCCTCAAAGAAACCTACAGCTGCTAAAGGAAAAGCGGTAAAGGTAAGTGAGGTTTATTGATAACCATCTTCAAAATACCATTAAAATGTATTTAGATTGCAAAATGGCTCTCCTTAAAGAATTTCCACCTTTTCCTCTAATCAAGAGAAAATGAAACAGCATTATTTTTCGTCGATGAATACCTGTATGTTCACACAAAACGATTAGAATCGTATGATGTGCGATCCTCGCAGTAGATAACGCTATTTATGCAATAGCGAAAATGATTTTTGCTATTGCATAAATAGCGTTATCTACTGCGAGGATCGCACATCATACGTATCTAATACCGCAGTTCAAAATATATGAAACTCATATATTCATTGCACCTAATGATTAGAATCAGAAGCAGACTCCTACCCCACCATTGGCTTCCATCTTAGGGTTTATTCCTAAGCCCGGATGCATTGTTTCTAAAAGGTGATATGAAATATCATAAAAAAAAGCCTTGAAGAACAAAACTTATGCTGTCAGTAGTTACTGTTTTGGGTACAGTGACAAAGAAAAAGACACGACTAAAAAAAGGAAGATTGTCACCTTTGCATATGAGCTGATCAATATCCACCTTCAACAACTCTCTGGCAGAATACCTTACACAAAGGAAGGTACTCGTTGAACATTGTAAATAAGAATGATAAAATAGCCGAANGCGACCACAAAAGCCACATGGGGAGTCTGTGCCGTTCTGTGTTTATCTTTATTCGCATGGCAAAAATTCATCGTTTGTCGGCGCAAAACTATCCACAGAAGCTTCAGATGATTTCTGGGACAATTCATCGTCTGAAAAAGTCGACATTTCCCGACTGACAACGAAACAGTTCTCAAAAAAGTGATATGTGTGATTCTCTGTGCAGCGAACAAAGAGAGTTGTGACAAAGCAAAGCATAAGTTTGTTGAGCCTTTGACGTCATAATGACGTTTTTGCGAGCTTGGCTGGAACATGTTTTTAGCAATGGCGGACGATTTTTGGACGACTTTGAAGCGGTAAAAATTGGTCATCGAAGGTTTGTTTTGAGTTGTTAATGGCAAAAAGAGTCTCTACTTGACCCAATTTAACATTGTGTAAACAATTTAGGCCAAATTAAAATGGTCAATTTTCGTCTCAGGGGCACTTTAAAGGGGGTTAATTACAAGTCAATTAGCTATTTGAGAAGTCTTGAGTAAATGTATTTGGTGGTTTGCAGGCAAATAAACCATTGACGGTGGCCCATAAGGGCAAAACACAACTTACAATCTTTTCTGAAACACAACAATCTTTTCGAGAACACAACAATCTTTTCGAGAACACAGCAATATTTTCCAGAACACTAAAATATTTTTCAGAACACAACGAAAATTCCTGATACACAACGATCTTTTTGGAAATACAATAAAATTTTCTGATACACAAACGCAAAGTAAAACACAAGAAAATTAAGTGAAAAACAACAAAATTTCAAAGTACTGGTAACTAACCCTGACGCTAAAAGCGACCGGAATCTGGGACTGGCTCTGGTCACATGGGCCCTTCGCTCTTGTTCTCCATATTCCATTCTGTTTCATGCTGTTGCCCGCCATGTTTTGTCACAGTTGCGGTGGTTGGAGAAGAGCACATGACAAGTTTTGCCCAAAGTGTGGTACAAGTTTATCTTCGTCTTCAGCTAGTCAAGTGTCCTCTTTCAAGAAATTCGTATCCCAAAAGTCGAAAGAGAGGCAAACCACTTTCAAGAAGTCTAAGAAAGCAAAGATGGACGAAAATGGGAGCAACTTCAGATTACCCGTCCACCTCATTTACATGTGTCGGGAGGCTTTGAAGAACGAGGCATAACACAATAGACGCTCATCTTATTTAGTAACATGTAAATGAGGTGGCCGGGTATTCTGAGCTCTTTAATTCTAACGTGAAAGTCCGCTCGGGTTCAGTGTCTGAAGCATCTTCGAATGGGCATAAGAACAATGTAATGCGTGCGTAAGTCTTCCCTAGGTCTTCCTTGTACTTTTCCAATGTAAATGGCTCGTTTGTTCCCGGAAGAGTACTCACTTCGCTCCCATCCGGAAAGCACAGTTTATAAGTCTTGTCATTTCTGAACGTACGCGGCCACCTCATTCACATGTTATTAACTAAGAAGAGCGTCTATTGTGTTATCTTGCCTGAATTTGTCGCTGGGTCCAGTGGATCTTTTACTAGTACAACTTCGAGTGCTGTCCAGTCCAGTTCTTCTGGTATGTGTGCATTAGTGTTGATCTAGTCCATATCATGATTTTATTTTAGTTTGTAAATTTGTCACCTCTTTGGTGTATTAGCTTTTGTGATAGGATTGCACGCATAATTTAAGACATATTCACGTGCCCTTTTATCAGAAGTAACTGTAATGTCGAGCTCTGTATTCATTTCTGTATTTCAAAGAAAAATAAGGGGTGGAGTTTATTCGATACTTTATTTTACTGTCACTGAAGTTTCCTAAGTTAGGTTGCTTTTTGCTTGCCATCTTTCCCACCCAGATTCCCTGCAAAGGATTGTTAGGTTTTAAAAAATGTAGCTGGTTTTAGGTTTTCTCCCGGTGGATGTAACTCAAAGTCTTGGATCAGTTACCGGAGCAGATGATATCCCAGGTTTTACATCAAATGCCAACCAAACTGCTCCTCAATGTGATGCTGGCCAAGCTGCCCTATCAGATAACAATGATGGTTTGATCTCTGGTGATGTCAGTGAACATGCCTTAATTAGTGGATGCCCTGTATCTGGTGGTGAAAGTCAGCTGAGTGATGTAAATGTACTTGGTGATTTTGACAATGGTATGTGCTAATAGAATATTCATTGACACAAATAAGAATGCTTGGTAACTGGTATTTTTACACTGTTTGGCTACATTCTCTTGTTTAATAACCATGGTTATTTAGATTAGTCACTGGTAACCAACCGATTTGTGTAAATTGAATGTTGGGTTTGTTTTTGTTTAGGTACTGCACCTTTATTAGTGAAGGATGTGCTTGTACACAGATCCCAAGTTCTCAAAGACTTGATAGAAGAATTCAAAGCCCTGGACATCCCTACTCACATGTACCACCTAAATCTAGTTATAATTAATGAGCGTGGGGAGATCGAGGAAGGGAGAGGTCCTGGTGTAGTGCGAGAAGTAATCACAATTCTTTACCAATTCTTTAGCACCAATTCTTTATGTCCTTGTCAACCGATGCAACAGAAAAAGTACCATCAGTGAGACATGATTACCAGCACCAAGAATGGGAAGCCATCAGTAAAATATTGGTGTATGGGTATTGTGAAATTATGTATTTCCCAGTAACTCTTTCAGGTGTTTTTATGGGGAGTTGTTTGTTCGAAGAAAGGGATATTTCTGACAGTTTTCTCCTTGAAGCATTTTCCTTATACATATGCAAAGATGAAGCAGAAACATTAAAACAGTGTAAGGAGGGCAAATTAGAACCTAATGATGATGATGTACTTGAAGTACTAAGTAGCTACAAATGCTACAAAAAACCAACAAAAGAGAACATAGAACTGATCATCACACAACTAGCTCATCA